TGCAAGAGCAGTCAGTGCTCTTAACCACTGAGCCATCTCTCCAGCCTCCAAAACTTTGGACATATATTTCAAAATGAGACATAAAAGGTTAAATAAAATTCACAATGTAGTGCACAAGAGTGGCTGATTCAGATACCAGAATGTTCAAGACAAGGAGGTGAGCCCAACAGAACAATGAACACATTCAAAGTGCCACGAGGATCAGAGGTAGGTGGATTTCAGGGGGTGAGCTGCATTGGGTGGGAAGAGAAAAGATGAGCCCTGAAGTCTCACACAGGGATCACTGGGAAGGTTCCCACCTGAGTCCATGCTTTTCTACAGACTGCAGCAACCCCAGATTGAAATTCTGCAAACACCAACTTCTTCAAGTTCAAAAGAAAAGCCTGAAAGCCTAGGATAAACTTTTTCTTTACTTTTTTTGGGGTCTTTTTGAGATAGTCTCCCCATCTGATGGTAGCCCCAGTTGTTCTGGAACTCACTATGTAGACCAGGCTGGCCATGAACTCACAGAGATCCCCCCTGCCTCTGCCTCCCAATTGCTGGGATTAAAAGTGTGTGCCACCATGCCCGGCAGTTAAGTTTTTCTTTACTTTTGTTGACAGGAATAATTTTCTCAAATGATGTGGAAAAATATGCTATAAAAGGTGAAAAAGGCTCAAAACAGGGTGAATACCAGATAGAGATCAAGGAACGGGAAATTCACAAGAGTAGAGTTTGGGCAGTTTTTGAACATGTACAGTGTCTGAGAAATATAGAAGTATTAGGCTTGGCAGAGGCACAGCATGGCTTCTACCCTCATCTGCTCGTGTCCTGGTTCCTTGAAACCCTCAGAGCATGTATTTTCTTACACTAGGTTTGAGTCTGCCTTTATTTCTAAGTTTTTTGTTTACACATAGACTTTATGCTTTAACATTTTACATCATCTGGGTCTTTTATTTACTTATGGAGCCTGTAAGAACCATATTTATGTATCTGGTACTGAGATTTTTCAGTTTACCATAAAAATCTTGACTACACTCTGGGCAGCCAATGCAACAATATTAATCATATGCTTAATTTTTCTTAATCTCTGGCCCTTGAGTCTACTGCTCCAAAGACTTAACATCTCTCAATGAAATGCTACTTTAAAATTATGAATAATAATAAAAGAGAATGAACGTTAAAAATCCATGCCAACCTGAGTCCACTCTATCACTGTATTTTGAAATGAGTCCTTTGCTCAATGTCCCACCTCTTGCTGGAACCAGAGTCTGGCTCTTGGCAGTTATTACTAGTCTTCTTTCCTCTGTATCATTTGAGGAAACAGTAACATTTCCCAAAAGCAATATGTACTTGCAATATTTTCAACTTTTCCCTGATGAGTTGGATACACAGAAGAGACTATGGGAATGTGCATTTAGGAAACATACTACAGTTCTGAATGTATCAATGGATGACTGCTCTGAAACCTGGCTCCATAGGTAGCCAACAGTACCTGGGGATCAGGAAAGGAAAGCTAAGGGGCCCTTCTTTTTGGAAGAATAAAATCTCAGCAGGGAAAGAAGCTCTAAGCAACAACCACATGTTCAGGACTGAGTTCTGGGCCTTTAGTCACTGGTGGGTCACAGATATAAAATATGTGCTAGAAATAACAAAAATTTGCTTTAACTTTAAATAAATGAAATAATAAATATTCAGTGTCTGAAACCTTTATATATGAAGTATGAATTATTTGAAAAAAGATAAAAATGAAAATTTTAAACAAGTGAGAGAATAAGAACATATTTAAAGTATAAGAAATTATGAGGTATAGTATTTGTTCTGGAAAGCAAAAAGAAATAAATGTGAACTAGAATCATGTAATTGTCAGTGGCAGAAATCTTTCATTTCATCTCTTTTTATAGGTTACTGAAAGAAAAACTGGATGCTTCATATAAAAAAACAGAACAGTTAGGAATTACACCATGTCAAGAATAAAGAAAATGCAGACACGGCCTGATTTGAATATGATAAGTGAAAAGTAACCACATGGACAGATATAGGTGGTTTATACAAGGGTATGAGGAGACCAGTACGAGCCAGCAGATTTAGTGGAGGGAACCTGTAGTTGCCACTCAGAGTGGTAGGATGGGAAAATGGAACTACAATCAGTTCCTGGGGAATAGGCTCTGGGTTGTGTAGCTCATGTTGCTCCTTCTGTATCTACTAATGGATGGAATTAATGCCTCTGTGAAACGGTATCATCCGGTAACAACTCTAGCCTACATAAAACTATGTCCTAGAAAAGAGGCTGGTGAACTACCACCAGAAGGCAATATCCCTGCAGATGAAGTGTCTTTTATGTTTTCCAAGGCAAGTGGTAGAAGAGGCCACAGGGAGGGGAGGGGGAAGTCAACAAAGAGGAGGCGCAAATAAAAAGAGGCAGAAGAACAGTGGTGGTGGCAGCCAGGACTCCAGGCAGCCACTTCACATGAAACACCCACTACCTGGTCTTTTACAAAGAAATCAACAACTCCGCTCTAGATTTCATCTGCCCTCACACACAATATAAAGCTAATGTCTTTCCAACACATACACCTAGCTCCAGCTTCAACTAGGCATTCCATTTGTAGGTAACTCCAACCTTGCAGTCAATTCACAGGCTGAATCTGAATAGCTACCCCCAATTTTTCCTCCCCCAAATTAAATCTGTATTAACTCCTTTCCTCATTGTTTTTTTCTGTCTCAGTAAATGGCTTCCTAATGTCACTAGCTGCTTGAGCTTATGGTCGCATCTGACTCCCCTTTCTCTAGAACTCTTTATGCAGCAACAAATCCTTGTGGCTCTATCTTCGAGATGTTTGCAGGAACAGCACTCCCCAGCACCTCTGGAATGGCCTTCACCACAACCCTTCCTTCTGAGGTAGACAGTAGTCTCCTAACCTCCTAACAGTGCCTCTTCCTTGCTCATACCCACCCACAGGCCACAGAAATTACTGCACAAGCCACAGAGAGCCTTCTAAGCTGCAAACAAGATCTGATGATTCAGTCCAACCTACATTTATTCAAAAAGAGGCCTGGCACCTCATGTTCTCTCTGCCTAGAATATATTCAGTCTACACAGCTCATTCTTACTCTATTAAAGTCTCATATATAACACGACTTCATCTCAAAGTTTTTTCTGATGTCATTGCCAAATAGCAGATGTCAGCATGCTCTAGCCTCCCTTCCCGTCTGAGCTCTCTTCATCACACCAGTACCCAATCTAGTGTGTATGTGTGAATACAAGAATATGTGCACACTCAGTATATATGGAAATATGTATCTCCAAGATTCTGCTGTTCACTTAGCATTCCATGCTATCTGGCACAACATAAGCACAAGTGTTTATGACTGACAGACATTAAAGAAACAAGATGTGGAAAGTTGGTTTTGGTCATTTTCAAGGGTCTGGGAATAAACATAAATTTCTGAAAAAAATATTGCAAAAGTGACCTACCCTAAACCAAGGAAACAAGATCTCACCAGCCTGTAAACACACTAATGTACCTGAGCGACATCTGTTTGGGAATCCCTTTTCTACAATCCAGGGCTCTTCTCCTTGCTCTATCTTGAAGATCACATCAGGTTTAGCAACACAATACCCCATTAAGACAAAATAACACGGCTTTGTGAGCTGAAAAGATGACAGGAAAGAAAGGAACAGCTTGTTACTGCTCTACAAAGTGCAAGAACACAGAGGTAAGAACACATGACCATCACAGCCAAAGGGGCCAGTCATCTCAGTCTTGAATCTAAAGCCACAAATTAGAAATGATAAAGCATCCCTTCTGAAAAACCAAGAAATGTGTGTGGCTGACAGCCACACTGGAAAAAACAAATGAAACAATCCTTACCTACTGAGACAAATTTTCTATAATTTTCCAGGATGACATCTCTATATAGGATCTTTTGAGCAGGGTCCAGCAAACACCATTCCCCCTTGGTGAAATCCACACAGACATCTGTGAATGACAGTGGTTCCTGCAACAAAATGTTCTTTCTTTTGTATGAAGTTAGAACTGGCCAACACAGAAAAGGTTTAGCAGAACTAGTTTTCTGAGAGTTTACTGAAAAATAATGAGCGGGATACCTGCCCCCCCCCTTTTGAGCTACACTATGTAGAATAAATAAACTGATATAAATTGAGATTCAACTGAAGGTCTGGAAGTGTCTTAGTTGCTATGAATACTACCAAGACAAACAAAGAACACACTTCCTGTTCTCAAAGTACTTATGACCTGGTAAGGACACACATATAAGCATTTATTAAATGAACACTGCAAGACCAGGCAGTATACTTAACTCTTATCAGAAGTAAGACTTGAAATAGTTCTATAAACAATGGCATTGGTATGAACAAGGGACAGGCTTCTTCCAGGAAGCCCAACACTGACTAAAGTGGCTGCCTGACCTAACTACCCACCAGAGAACAGGACAATCCTTCTCTGCTTGAGGAGATTGTCTTCTGGAGGTACATGGATTTTTTTCTTAAGCACAGTATTTTTCTTTCTTTTTATGTGTATGAGTGTTATGTCTGCATATATGTAAGTACATCCATGTTGTGCAATGCCCACAGAGGACTATAGAGCGCATTGGATCCCCTGGAACTGGAGTTACAGACAGTTGTTAGCTGCCATGTGGGTGCTGGGATTCAAACCCATTTCTTCTGCAATTGCAGCCAGTGCTCTTAACCTCTGAGCCATCTCTCCAGTCCAAGCACAGTATTTTTCTTAAACGTAGTAAATAGTTTCACAGTATGTGAGCCAATAGTGAACAAGATAGAAAAATGGGCGATATAAACAGACCATTGGGTGACTCATATAGTGAAATGAATCAGAACTTCAAAATGAATTATGGCTAATATGTTCAATACAATGGAGGAAAGTTAACAAGCAATGCAATAATGGGGGGAATTTCAACAGACAGCACGCATTCATGTGAGTGATGCACAGAGAAAGGGCTAAGAGCATGGCAAAGCAGCTGTCCTTTGAAAGGTCTTCCCCAGGGTTCTCTCTGCTGGTAGCTGAGAATCTGGATTTCAGGCTGGCCCTGGCCTTATCATTCCCCATCAACAATGGTTCACTGAACCTGAACTGTTTGTGTAAACAACATGGCTTACACTGACCATGAGTATTCCTTCCAGGACTGAAGACTCTTCAGAATCTAAAATGAGCTATGTGATCTAATAACAACTCTGGGCACCAAATGTCTAATGAGATCCCAGGTACACATTTCACACACCACAGGTAATTGCTGGTGGAATTAAGTGTGGTTTGTGAGACACCACTAGGAGAAAATTTAAACTTTGCCTGATTTCGATGTGGATTCTTTCACTGTAATGAACAGTAGCTGTGCAGGTGCGGTAGCGTACACCTTTAGTCCCAGCACTTGGGAGGCAGAGGCAGGCGGATCTCTGTGAGTTCCAGGCCATCACGGTCTATATAGAGAGTTGTAAGCCAACCATGGGTACAGTGAGACCCTGTCTCAAAAACAAACAAAAATAAATAAATAAATATAGTAGCCTTGAGTGTGGCCATATGCTGAGTCAGCCTGGGATTCACTGAACATGGGCACATAAATTGGCATACTAGAGAAGAAATATGTAATATCTAAAACTAGGAGCTCATTAGATATAGTTTGTTAACATCATATTAGAGAAAGAAGACATGATCTGAAATAGTATCTAATCAAAGACTGTCCGATCATATAAAGCAAAAGTGATAGAACTGCAGGAAGAAATTGCCAACAACTTACATCATACTTGAAGACTTTAACACCCCTCTGTCAGTACTGATAGATGAAGGAGGCAGAAAAGTCAGGAACTATATAGATAACCTGAACAGAATGTCTATCTACTTGAGCTGCTACCTTCAGAATAAATCCATTCAAAACAATAAAACACACTCTGTCATCTATTCATTATATGGAACACTCACAGAACATTGTCTGAGTCATAAAACATGTACCAACAAACTTATAACAATATCCATCATTGAGGCTGGAGAGACGACTCAGCGGTTAAGAGCACTGACTGCTCTTGCAGAGGACCTGGGTTCGACTCCCAGAATCCACATGGTGGCTACTAACCATCCATAACTTCCAGGGGACTCTGACACCCTCTTCAGATAGACCTCCACAGTATTGCACGACATGGGTGCACTTGTACACACAAAATAAAAATAATAAATTAATTTTTTTAAAAAGGTGTATGCCACCATACCTGGAAGCATAATAAACTTTTTGTAAAAAATCATATAAAATATGTTCTCAGACCACATGAACTTAGATAAAAATCACTAAGAAGAGCTGGAGAGATTGCTCAGTGGTTAAGAGCACTGATTGCTCTTGCAGAGGACCCAGTTCAATTCCCAGCACCCACATGACAGCTATGAACTATCCTTAACTCAAGTTTCAGAGGAATCCGAAGCCCTCTTCTAACCTCTGTGGCACTGCACGACACAGGTGCACTCACATACATGCAGGCAATACACTCAACTTACTTATAAATAACCTCTAGGTCAATGAAAAGGCCTCAAAAGATTTTTTAAGTAAAAGACCTCAAAAGATTTTTTAAAGTATTTTAAATGAAACAAAAATGAAAACTAACACTTGTCAAAATTTGTGAATTACAGAGAAAATAATTTGCTCTGCAAAAGACTCATATAAAAATGAAAAGACAAACCAAAGATGGAGAAAGTGTTTACAGAGCATATGTCTCATAAAGGAGTTTGAACCAACACACAGTGATTTAGTTTCTTTGTTGCTGCATTAAAATACTTGGACAAGAGCAGCTTAAGGGAGAAAGGGTTTGTTTATCTCACAGTTCGAGGTGTTGTCACAGTGGAGAAATCAAAGCAGCGGGAGCTTGAAGCATGGGCCACACTGCATCCACAGCCAACAAGCAGAGCAGTGGTGCATCCTCAGCTCACTTTCTCTATTTATGCATCAAGGATCCCATGCCCAGGGAATGGCACCATTCACAGTCCCATCTCAGTGAACACAGTCAAGCTCATCCCCCAGAGGCCCAAATCTCAGGTGATTCGGAATTCTGTCAAGTTGACAATTAACACTAAATATCCCACATACCTACAAGGTAGTAAAACTCAACCACAAGAAAGCGAACAACATACTTGAAAATTGGGCAAAAGATTTTTGAACAGACATGTCACCAAAAATATACAGACAGAAATAAAGAGATGAACAATTATTCAATATCATTTGCCATTAGAGATACAAAAATAAGATGTCATGACACACTTATTGGAATGGTTAAATCCAAAACAGTAACAATATTAACTTCTGGGTTTTATGTGCGCCAACATGGATTCTGATTCACAACCGGCAAGAATGCAAAATGATACAGCACCCTGGAAAACATTTCAGCAGTTTCTTAAAGGCTAAACCATCTTAAACTACAGTCCACCAAGTTTAAACTCTAGAAATTTATCTGACTCATTTGAAAACATGTCTGTGCAAAAACCTGTGCAAGAATATCTAGAAACTTAATTTAGGAACTGGGGATGTAGCCTGGCAGGGGACTTGCCTAACATCCACAAGGCTCTGCATCCAGTCCCCTACACTGCACTTATATTTGCCAGAAATACAGAACTAAATGGAAGGCGGATAGTGGTAACCAGATCTGTCACTGTAGGAGTGGGGGGCTGCAGAGAAGCAAAGCAAGGCTAGAGTGCCCCAAGGCAAAGGATTAGAGCAGAGGACACCCATGTGAGAGAATACCCAGCTAGGGAAACAAACTACTCGTGATACCCAGTAGTTTTCCTATTCTACATGATCAACCTAAATATGTCAACTATCCTCGAACAGAGTTTGCAACAAAAATTATGCAAGAGAGAGAAGAATCCTTAACAGTTGCTATTAGTGCAGAGTGAGTGTAACTGCACAGGGCTGGAGTCTCAGCTAAGAAAGAGGGCCAGAAAAGTTGCACTGTACTTTGAGACAGATAAGGAATGGTGAGAAGGAGAGAAAGGAGTGAGGGAGGGACAAAGATAGGGACAAAAGCCACTGTAGACACCAGCTGTGCCAGCAGAAGGAAGTCAGAAACTAAGGGGTGGGGAGGATTGGAGACCTAAACTCTATGGCCCCTGGACACAATGCCGAGCAGACCTGCAGTCCAACTGGACAGGAGTCTTGGGGTTCCTATACCACAGAGGTGCCAGGAAAACACTCTGTTCTTTGCACTCAACTAGAGCAGTGACAAGAAATCATTTTAAAAAGATGGCTGCCTGGTCTACATAGTGAGTTCCAGGACAGCTGGGGCTACAGGGAGACCCTGTCTCAAAACGACCAAAAAAAAAAAAAAAAAAAAAAAAAAAAAAAAGATGCCCGCCATGTAAGTGGCTAAGTAGGTCTGAGGTAAAGGTCCATCCATGTACAGCTCACTCTAGGAACTTAGGGCAAGTGTACTCTGAGACCTGACCTTCAGAATATCTCCAGTATAAGGGGAAAACTTTGAGCAGAATCATGCACCTGTGGCAATATGAGGAAAATCAACCTCTGATGGACTGCCTTGTCTGAGCCATTAGGGACACTTGATAAATATCAATGAATGGAGGACAATAGAATGACATTACTAAGGGAACTGAGCATGAGAGAGGTGATATTTAACACCTAGTTTACTGGATCAGATGGGACTGTGTTCACTGGAGAGTTAAAAGTTGATTTAGCAGGGACCTAGGGATTGGTATAGGGTTTTAGTGACTTTGCTAATAATGGGACATGATATTTATGAGTAGGAGAAGCTCTGGAAAATCTGAATGACAGACGAAGAGTAAATTGAGTTCATAAAGTAATAAATCGAGAGAAAGGCAAATAAGACAAAAGGGTCTGTGTGGGACACTCAAAGGCAAATGTGGCAAGATCTGTGTCAAGCCAAGTTCTTAGGGAGAAAATTAACAGACAGCCAAATGCTGTGCTGAGTTTCTGGAAGACTTTAATGCCTGAGCAGCAGTTTACAGAAGATACAATGGTCAAAAAATGCCAGTGAAAACGTTAACCTTGA